ATATTAATAAATATTAAATATAAAATATATTTATTTATTCAATATGACATATTATATAAATTAAATCAATATATAAAAATGTAAAACCAAATATTAATTGGAATTTGATAATAATAATAAAAACAGATTGTTCAAAAAAAATTACAATTATTATTTTTTGTAAATGTTGTCTTCAAAACAACAACGTGGTTCAGAAAGTAAACATCTCAATTTAACTGAGACGACCAAATATGTGTGCATTACATTATTTAATTCAAATAAATTTGAACCAATAGTATATATATTTTTATTGATTTACTTGTACTTTTAAACCATTTTTTATTTGGGTATTAATTTATCTGTAAGCATATATTATTTTTTATAATAGCATTTATCGTGTGCATTCGGCTTTTTTTATCATCACTTAAACTGAAATAATTTATTATCAAAATTTTATGAATTAAATTCATTTATTGTGTATTGTTTGTTAATCTTTGTGTTTCCTTCTTTCATTACCAATTTTTTAGAAATTGGTATATTTTTCACAATTTGTGGGGTGTTTCAAAAAAACTCTACAAGGAAAAACTTACTAAATAATTGCCTATGTGTGTTGTGCAAATGTGTTATTACAAATATTTATCATTATGTTCTTTATATCATATTTTTCATTAGGTAACAACAATTGTTTAATTCAAAAAAAAATCATAAACTTAGTCAAATAATTATGAAAACACCGAGTTATTAAATTTTTAATTTGAATAATATTATTTAAAATATACACTTTTAGTGGTTTTGAAAAAAAAATGAGTCATTTCACTTTTAAAAACAATCAATAGTATATTTATTACATTTATTAATTACTTTATATAATTAGATTTATAACCCCATAATCTTATTCCTTATGATTCAATTAATTCAAAACATACAAACAATCAGTAAGTGTAATTGAATTGTTTGTATGGTGGGTTAAGTATGAATAAATTTTTGAAAGCTTTATATAATTAAATAATTATAAATTTGTTATATTTAATTATTTAATATGAATCAAATACTTTATAATTCTAATAGTTAATTAAATAATTTAAATTTAATAATAATGAGTAGTTAAATAATAGGAATAATGAATGTTTGATGTTAATAATTCTTAAATACCTGATAAAAACAATGACAAATATTATTTATTTTGATAAATTTTTGTTATCGTGTTTCAACTTTATTCACAAAAGACATGTTTTTATTTTTTTAGGGTAATTTTCCCATATTTTCAATCATAATAATCTTATTATAATAATTGTTTTGTACAAATGGATTTTTTATTTTCCAAAAATACTTATTAGAGTAATTTTCCCGATTTTTAATCAAAAACAAAAGCCGCAATTAAAATGTTTGATATTTTCGATGCTTTGTCCTGTTTTCATCCGCCGACACGTGTCAGCCACAATTAGCTTACCGATTTTTTGGCTGGCCAAAGAAAATTGGTCAATCGTGCTTGAGGAAATGAACATTTACAATTTTAAACATAAATGAGTCATGTTTTCCACAAAAAAACGTGTTATATTATTATTTTGTTACATATACTAAAATACAATTTATAATTTTTACATTAAAAACTGTATTAAATTATTCAATAAACATTTCATAGTCAAACCTCTATCAAATAAAACAAATTCAAAAAAATGAAAATGGTCTCTACGGACCAAATACAGATCGAGGTGCCAGAAATTTATTGGGTGCCAGAATTATTTTAAGACATGAAATGAGTTTGGCACCCATTTCCAGATCAATTATTATCATGACAAAAACAAATAATAAACAAAAAATCAAAACCCGAATATTTACATCAATCAATCCTCTAATTTTTTGGCACCCATTAAATTTTTGGCACCCATTAAATACTCTATCTGTATCCACATTTATCACGCATTTAAAATTATCTATATTCGATATTATGTGACTTATATTAAATTTTCATAAAAGTGTCTTAAAAATAAAAGGTTGTTTATCCAATTTATTTATTTTTTGTTATTAATATGTTATTGTTATATAGGTTCACTTTTGAGTTATAATTTTAATGATAAATAACCAGTTTAAATATTTTTTTTCAATATATAAAATAAATATATTTAAGTAAAAATTATATAAAGTGGTGAAAGTATTTATCGCATTCTAAATAAATGTGTTATTTAAAATGTTTAAACAAAACAACAATTTTTACATAGTTTGTTGTAATTCACAACAAAACAATAACTACATACAATGAACAAATATAAATTGTTTATTCCATCAAGTTGAACTTTGATTGATTTCAATTGAATTCTGCCTCGATCAACAATTTTGATCAAGTGATATTTGATTGAAGTTCAACAAAAAAAATATTTTTCTCCTTTGCTTTGATCCGTTCTCTTTATTTTTTGGTCAATTTAAAATTAGAATGTTTACAAATAAACATAATATTCGGCACTTTTGGCTCATCTATCTCCTAATCACTTTCCGATATAAAAAACGAATAGAATTTGTCATTTTTTATTTTATAGGATTCATATCAAACAGAAAAAAGAAACTCTAATGTGTTAAATATTTAAAATCTGAGCAAAAGTGATGCACGGGCTGCGACACAAACAAAGTCGTTTCGTTAACAAACAGTAGTGTTTGTGTTGTGTGTGATTTTGATGCAAATTGTCGAGTCTGTGCGTCAAGTGGCGAGAGAAAAATCAACACTTGCACTAACAGGACGCACCCAGACGAGAGTGGTAAATGTGTTCCATGCGACACACAGTGAACAACAGGATGCAAATGCCAAACTGGTGTTTGTGTCAACTACAATTCAAATGGAGTTATTGATGAGTCTGATGGAACAACAAAGTGTGAGGCGTGCTCTTCTTTTAACACATATTGTTATAAATGTTCATCTGCATTTAACAGAAAGTGTGTGATGTGTAACAATGGATATTACCCAAACGAAATCGCTATCTGCTTTCAATGTAGCATAATCAACACAAATTCTACGAGTTGCAGCCAAACAAAAAAAGAAGTTCTTGGTGTGCAAAGACCCACAGTACTTGGCTTTAAACGGGCTTTTTTCAAATTGTGAAATTGGGATTTACAAGAAGACTAACACGACTTGTGAAAGTTGTTATTTTGCAACTGAGTACAGCAATGTGTGTTCAACACTTTCTGTAGGTGTTTCTAATTGCACCTCTTGTATGGCCCACTATGTGTTGAATGGCGGGAAGTGTCAGTTGTGTCCAAGTGGGAAGTATTACAATCCAAAATCAAAGAGCTGTCAAAATAATGATGTAAATTGTCAAATTCAAGTCGAAGAGTCAACTTGTCTTCTATATAACAGCAACTACTTTTTGGCGAATGGCGTTTGCCAACAAACAACTCGATGTCAAAGTCCGTCCAACACCACAATGTCTTCGTGTGACTGTTATGACCATATTTCAGTCAACTCCGATTGCAAAGACAATTTGACAAACTGATAAAACCAAAAAGTTGAAAAGGGAAATTCTGTTTGTATTTATTGCAACAGTGCCACCCAAAAAAATTATTGGAAATGAATTTTAAAAATTTTGTTCCAACCCATTAAAATTTCAAAAGCGGTGGTGGAAAAAATTAATTCAAATAAACAAATAACATTTTAAGGTTTATAGAAATGTTATTCGATAAACCTTCAACGATAAATATATAACGTCAGTTACAAAAATAAAGAAGGCAAAAATAGCAACATAAAAATGACCAATAAAAAATGTAAAAAAAGTTAAAAAACATTAAAGATTACTTTTTCATATTCTTTTATTATTTTAGACTTCTTTGCAATGTTTAGCAAACATAAATTATTATAATGAGTCAATTAATCATACACAACTTCTTGTTCTTATCACATTTGTATTTTTTTGGTTCATTTCATAAAATTTTAAAATAGTTGTTTGAAAAATGTGAAACTGCTCCATTTCTTTAATGGGTATAACAGTCATACCTCTAATTGACTCATTTCAGTGCCCATTCCTCCGTGTTAACAAGAATAGAGATCTCTTGTCGCTACCGTCATACCTTATACTAAACATTTTTAACTATTGAAAATCAAACATAAAAATTGGCTGATATAAAAAATTGGTTTTAGGGTATTATTCTTGCAGCTAAAGGGTTTCTTGAGGATAAGGTGTATCCTCTGGATTAAAGCTATCCTTATTAAAAATTATTTTTCTGAGGATACAAAAATCAAATCCATAATGTTCAGTTCCCCATAAGGCCCACTTTCATAACTCAAGTTATAATTTACACTTAATATTTCAAGTCAAAGTTCAAATTTTAAATAATGGTAATAATTTGTCATAAATGCCAAAAAATAAAAACAATCAAAAAAATCGCCACAATAATCAATAAACACAAACAATAATTATAACTCGCTTACTTGAGACGGGAAACAACAAAGTGTAAATTAAACTTGTTCATATTATGATTATATACTTATTGAAATTATTTCCGAATCCGTCTTTATA